CCTGCGGGTCCAGGCAGTTGGGGAAGCTGTGCTGAGCGCCACAGCTTCGGTCCGAAAGGGAATCACGGAACCCACCCAAAAAACGCTTCTTCACTGTTGACGGATCAAATAAAGCACATATCCTTTTTTGACATCTCCAGTCTCCAGTCTCCAGTCCTCTTTGATGTGAATCGCCATTGAAACAACACTCCAAGTCTGCATGCCAGTCTAGTCCGTCCTGGCGAGGTTGGGATTGAAGGAAAGGTGCTGAGACCGACGTGTTTGACGCCCCATGAACCTCCGAGGTGGATGACACCTTGAGCGGCGGAGACCTGGAAATCACCATCTCAGCCACTGGAGGCTGTGGCTCTCGGTATCCCATGTCCAAGAGCGTGCCAGTGCGTGCCTTTGGCGCCAAAGGGATAGACTGACTTGCGCAAACTCCAAATCCAGGCCTCGCCCCCAAACGAGACTTATGGAAAGAATCAACAATCCAAAACCACCTAGCGGACCTGAACAGGAACTGGCGTATGTGTATAGAATCGCCACAACGATGGGATCAGGAACGGCTGAACGGCGGTTTCCGGGCCCTTCTGGACACTCCAGCACATCCATCGGATGGATGGTGATCTGGTGGGATTTCCTGGGTTTAGAGTTGAGAGACATGTACAGATGCTTTGCTAAGGACCTTTGTTAGACAAGAATGATCCATCCCCCTTGTACCAAGAAGTGGTTTGCATTGAAGATTTAGGTTTTGTCTTGCTTAATGATGATTCTAAAAAATACATATGCAAATATCTTCATGTTCCACAAGAAACATGAGGATGGGACTAAATCTATGGCTTGGGTCGGCTCTTGGGTCGGCTTGGTTCACAATGGTTTTTGAGGTCAAACGTATGGGCAGAACCATCGCCTGGGGCAGAACCCGTGGCCAGAGAGGTTGTCCATCACTCATATGCTCAACTGATCTGCAGGTGTGCTTGGATCAGATGTGTTGCTAGCTAGACGACTCCCAACCAGTTCTGAAGAGAACCAACACTGGATGATGTGTTTGCAAGGACACAATGATTTGCATGTCAGTCAGTTTGGGTCTGTTTGAGGTTCTGGAACGGCCATCGTTTTTGACAACCTCAAAGCCTACCATCGCATGACTGCTCTACGTACTGCCTCAGAAGAAGGCGGCCGACGTTCTGTCATCGGCTTTTTTGTGGTGCGCGAGGGCTTGTACAGAGAAGCTCCCACTTCGGAAGTCACTTCGGACTCCTTGACGGTGCCTCGACTATATAAGAGAGCTGTGGCATGGCTGTGAGTTATGGTACCTCCCCCACCAAACCATCTGAGGTTGACATCCCTTCTGAAAAAGAAGGGAACTGTTCCTTTGAACCGGGTTCGACCAGGGTGCCCGGCTGACAAAGGTCAGAGCTGAAGTCCCGGAGTTCGTTCCTGGAGGATATGAAGGTCGTTTGTTCATTCCCTATATGGATCCACATACGCTTCTCAGGTTCGGTACGACTGGACCCTCCTGGCGCCTACATAAATAGTCTCCAATCACCCTCTCAGAAGGTATGTGGATCCATAGGGATTGTTGAGATGATGCAGCCCATCCACTCGGAGGTTTCATTCATCTTGTATTTTCTCACATCGAGCTCGAAGGCCTCAATGATATTCATGTGTTGTATTGCGTTGTGTTTTTTTTCATGAGAAGGATGATGCTCACCTTGCGGATGTCGTTGCATGAGAAAGCTGTTCAACACGGCAACATAGCCCGCAAACTAAATACGCCATAAGACAACAACTAACAACTACAACAAAGCGGAGCTTGGTCAACGCAACGACTCCTGCATGGCTACAGTTTGTTGGTCCGAACAAGCAAAATCAAAAGAACCCTTTGGACCTACGTTTTGGGCAGCTACCACACCACTACAGATACTACAGCATTTGCTAGCTTTGTCAGAACCTTTGCACTGTGTGTGCCCGCCAAAAGCAACCTTTCTCAAAAGCAAAATAGCAAGCAGCCCTAACCCATACACTCCATGGGACTGCCATACAGGCCTACATTGGGGTGGTTTGGGGGGCCAATGGGGCGGCATATATCGCAGTCCCATGGAGCGCCTGGTTAAGAATCTTTGGCCCTCCGAAACGGGGTCCGGACCCGATGAAAGACCCGAAGAAACTCTCGAGATGGGACCCCTCCGACCGGAACTCCTCAGTCGTTCCAGGATCCCCAGGCGGATTGGTACCGTTCCCAGGTCCGGATCGTGAGCGGAGTCGAGGAGATCTTCCGGGGTACCACTGGGCCCTCCAAGCCTACATAAATAGTCTCCAATCACCGTACCTGAGAAGGTACTTGGATCCCTATAGGGTGTCTCAGTTCTTCTCATGTTCTTTCACTCCTCCGTTTGGCCGATTGGTGGATCCGTGGATCACCTTTGAACAAAAGTACAGTAAAACAAAACACCTTTCCCCCACCCAACCCCCCCCCAACAAAAAACACGAACTGATTCGTGGAACGTTTGAAAGAATTCCGTGGGGGCGAACCTGTTCTCTATCTGTGTCGGATCTCAGGTGAACTATGGAGACAAGGCTCGCTCCATGCTGCGGCAGGCCATTGGCGCCGAAAAGCTGCCCAGGCGAACCAGGGCGAGGGCGAGGTTGATATGTGGATGTAGAAAAAGGGGATACCCCCGAGTGAAGAACCATATGACATGCATATAACTACTATAATGGATATGAACAGGTATACGACTACGAATGGTATTTTAATGTGGTACCTGGCATTGACCCCTCTATTTTTGCCCAGTACGGACATCATTGGAGACCTCTGCTGCAGAGCGGTGTGCTGCCGTGCTGTGGTGCTTGGTGTGGTGTGTAGTGCATGGAATACGTCCGAGGTGACAAGTTGTCTGGATTTGGTTGTGAGATGGGAAGTTGTCCCATATAGCTCTATTCAACATTGCCAATGCTGGCAACCTCTGTGGAAATCATAATCAACGATTTCTGTGATTGGCATTTGTAGCTGCTATATGTCTGGAGCTGTGGGCTGGTTTCGAGGTTTTGTGAATTCAATTCTGGATGATGCCGCTTGGAAAAGGGGCCACATCGCTTTACCGGAGCTCAGGCTTTCTTCTCAATGCACCTATGGATGTGCAGACTTGGAACCCCCTATTTTCCTAAAAACCTCGGATTAATAGAGTGACCGTTGTAACCAAACCAAGTTGAGGTTCCCTGATGGCAAAAGAAGCTCAAGTGAATTCTCTCGAATTGAGGTCTCCCCTCCATGCAAATCAATGAGTAACACATCTACATGTTTGTACACACCAATGGCAGTCGAACATCGCTCCGTGTTGAGACGAACCCATGATGATCATGACGCTCACATCGCCTCGCTCTCACATCGCTCTGCCTGCAGGCACATCTTCCTGCAGATCGAACGATGTTTGTCTGGGGGGTCCTCCCACACTCAGGAGCGCTTCCGAAGCAGCCAGACACTGGGTTTATCTGGTGTTGGCGCGGTCGTGGCGGCGAAAGTGAGGAAAATCCATTTGCAAAAGTGCATGAACCAGGGGTCACAAAGGGGTGCCTATTGGAGGTTAGGGGTGCCCAGCTACTCCACTCACTGGATGGGACCAAACACCACCCCTTTGTGACCCCTGGAACACCAATTTGCTGACCTTTGGAACAGCAATCAGGTTTGGAAATTCGGTGATGTTGGTCCCCCAGGGTCTCACATGCAGTGCCCTGCCCGGTACCCCTGGCGTGTACGACGACAATGCTGAGCCGAGGAAAGCCCGCTTGAGTCCAGTCACCCGAGAGGGCCTCATGGTCCAAGCCATGGACTGATGCGCATCTCATGGGAAGTACAGTGCCCCCAATGAGACGCGTTTTGCAGCGAAAAGGGGCGAGCGGCCATTGTTGCCAGCTGGTTGAAGCTGTTGATTTGATTTGCATGCTTGACTTTGGTTGGATCAAGCCCACAGATTGGTGGTGACCATGGCACAACACCTTTACAAAGGCAACTGGCCACAGGTCTTCTTGTGTGTGCTGTGTGATTTCCTACCTACTGATGTCCTGGCCAAATATGAAATTGCTCTGGCCAAATATGATATATATAGTCCTGGCCTAATATGAAATAGTCCTGACATAAACAACAGAGGTGTTATATAAATAAAGAAGCCAACGCAGCTGCTACCATATGATATAATATGTTTATTTACATCTGTTCGCATTTGTACCTCCAGAAGAAGCCGCAGTTTTAGTTGTTCTTGCTGTAGCTACTAGCTACCACCCAGCATTGGGAGCGTGTGAACTCTTGGTTTCTTTCAGAAAAGGGCTCCACAGAGACGCGCTGTACTACTGTAGTGCAACATGTGCGGTTTCTTTTGACTATGACTACAACCTACTACGTTACTGCCGTTCAGCGTTTTCAAGAGTAGATGCACGCCTACTGCCGTCTTCCTTCCGTCTACAACGATCGGGATCCTTTAAAGATCTGGTTTTGCTTTTTGCGCCACATTGTTTTATGACTATAGGATCCAATCCGGGCAAACACCCACCAGTGAGTCCCTGACTTGGAGAAGGTTTCAATCTCCCACCATGGGGTCAGTGTCGCAGCACAGAATGTCCAACATTCAAAACAGGTCGCCATAGGATTTGCGCCCAGTTTACCTCAGAAGGTGATTGGAGACACTGTTATGTAGGTTTGGAGGGTCCAAGTATACCTTCTGAGAACATATGTGGATCCCTAGCGCCTTGAATGGACAGGTGATTTCACCGGTGAAGCTCGATGAGACGCGTTCTCTAGCAGTTGTCCTCGAGAGACACCTTTTTTCGTGAGAGACACCTCACTCTGTTTCCCCGGAAGATCATTCAAATTGTCCTTTCCCAGGTGCTTAAAGCATCTTAAACCTGATTTTTGGAACCAACTTCTCCAAAGGTGAAATTGTTTGACCAGTGCTTCTTATTCTTTGTTGTTTTCAGGATCCTTTCAATCAAAAGGCCCTCCCGGAGTTTCGGGCCTGCAGGTGGAGTCGATGGAACCTGTGAACTTCCACCGATGCATGGAGTGGTACGTGTTTCTTGGGCGGAAAAGGATGGGTTCTTCAACTTGGCTCTGGGTTCTGAACACTGAAACAACCTCTAGAGGTTGAACAGACCCTTTTTCTATTTGAACAGATTCCTGCTCAAATACGGATGCCAACCTTTCATAGCTTCACAGGCTGAGGGCGGTCGGACGGGACGTTCAGCTCCATGCTAGGGAGGTGTTCCACCCGGCGGATCCCACCGGTTCGCCCGGGGCTCCTGGCTGGTGGACTGACCCTCCACCCCAACGACTGACCCTCAGGAGCCCTAGGGTTGGGGCGAACGACTCAAAGCCTTCACCTTGTTTTCTCTTTCGGATCATGACCTGCACAGCAACCCCACTGTTTAGCCATCTTTGGGGGGAATAGCAATTGTTGGTCAATTTGGGGACGCTTTGTGTGTGTGTGTGTGTTAATATATGTCACAGCTGCCCTTCGGATACACCACAGCAGATTGCCACCTGAGTTCATTAAAAGTTGGTGAGTAAAGGTGTCTCGAATACCCTTGATCTGAGTTGTACCCGTGTGTGTGTTTCTCCAAATTTGTACAAGGCTACAAGCAGCTGTACAACTTTGCAAAGCATGCAATATCCATCGTAAGAGAAGATCCAATTATTATCAAAGTTCCAAAGGGACCATCGTTGCCCCATAATCCACAAGACTTGGACGTGGCTACTGTCAGAATTGTAAAGCCAGTTGAATTCTCAGTGCTACCACAAACCAAAAGTCAAAGCGATCGCACATACTCCCAGTGCTATCAAGCAACGATTTCTGCGGCTTATTTTGTGCAGTTTGTGCCTGTATTGGCGACTCAAGTCTTGTATAAAAACATGTGTTGTTGTGTTGTTTTGTTTTTTTGTAATCAATCTGTTGGAGTCGGTTCCCGACGGCTCTTCACACCATCATTTGCAAGATCCACGACATGGAGATCCCTCTTTTGGTTTCAGGGGATAGTAGTTTTGAAAGAAATGAAACACCAGCCATCAGTCAGATGTTTTTCTCAGCTAGAGGCTTAAACGGGCTCACAGAGATTGCTCATCATTAGCAGGTTTTTGTGTCGTCGGACGATGTTTCGCATGCCGGTGCTTAGGTGGTATGACTACTGCTGCTTGCCTCAGGCGTGTTGTAGATGGAATGTTTGAGATGTGCGTGAAACCTGAAGGAATTTGGAAGGTTGACGGTCAAACCATGTCAAACAGCTGCTGCTTGACTTAGGAAAAGCGATGCTGCCACAAGTCGACAAGCCTATGTTTGACAAGTGGAAGAACATGTTGGACCAACCATCTTGAAACTTGTGTTTGAAGTTGATGAGGTGTCTTTCAATATCTAATTTGCCCATCCGTCCATCAAAGAAAACAACAAATCACATGGTTTCCCTATGCATTCGTGCAGATGAGTGGTGCTCGACCAGCAGCCAAGCAGCTTCGACAAATCTTCCACATCGTAGACTACTTTTTGGTCTTGGCGCCTATGCAGATGCATGCAGCTCGGAGAGGTTGTTGAGAGATGTTGCTTCCAATTGGCATCCATGCCACCGGAAGAAATCCTGCACCACCTGCAATGGGAGAACCACGGTATAGGACGTCCTCTTGGACTTCTTGAAAGCGGGATCGCCATCTTCTGACCCAGGTGCCTTTTGCAGGGCTCCGCGGGCCCCTCAAAAGGCTTCTCAGGGACTTGGATCCATTGGAGTGGTACATGAGTACGTAGATTGAAAAAGATTGTACATCAATATCATCAATTGGCAGTGGTAATTGGACCCAAGTGCAACGATGAACCTGGCAACGACACTCTCAGGCCTAGATCCTGCAAGAATCGGAAGAATCGGATGCACTCGCTGGTGATGGCTTCACCATCGGGTGTCATCCCACCGGTCACCGGTCGTTTCCAAGTGGTTGAAGTGGTCGTCTGACCGGTCACTGGGGTTCTTCTCCTTGAAAAACCCTTCCAGGTCGACGGTTTTTCATGGGTAGCATCATCTGAATCGATGCGGATAGTGCATTGGTTCATCTACGACGGAAAGAACCTTCCCAATCAGAGATTTGAGGTCCATCCCTGGTCCATCCCTACGCATTCAGGTCTATTTGTTTTTTGCCGTCAGCTTCAATGGGGTTTAGACAATATCTTCACTAAAGTAGTCTCACAAGGTGTCAATGACCGCCCCAACACAATCAGTTATTGTGTTTCTGATCGGGATAGCCTGTCGCAGCAAACTGCATTATATATAATCAACATGGCACCCCTGGCTGCCACTTGGGAGTCACTCTTTTTGAACTTACCGGGATACGGATACGACTTACCGGTTCATGTGCCCAAGCGGAACGCCCTCACACTGTTGTTTAATACGGTTGATGGACAAAATCCTGCATCGATTTAGACCAACACATGTGATCCTCCAATAGTACAGACCCCCGTGCCCCCCAACTCAATGTTGTCTCAATGTTTGCTATGTGTGACGCAGGTTTTGGTCGTTCAATATTTTTCTGTTTGAGGCATTTCCTCAACTCAATGTTAAAGAGGGAGCGCGAGGGTATACATGAGTTTGTTCGTCCAGTGGTGCAGGATTTTGTTCATCAACAGTATGTCCGCAGAACTAGATAGAGAAAAGGGACGATGACAGAGTGTTTTGCCCCAAAGGGCCACAGATTCAGCCTCTAGGATTCTTTGGCTTCAGGGCGTTGAGGAACAGATCCTCAATGATCCTCAGCTGGCGTTGTGTTGACTTGAATTGTCTTACAGTTGTTTTGCTGGTGAACGGTGATATAGAATCCAAGAACGCAAATCCCGAATCCAAAACCAAGCCTCGAATCGACCGAAAAAACACATGTTCGAATCCGGTACGATATTTTGGACACTGCTCAATGTTCGATACTGGACCCCGGTGAGTCACTGAGTTCCTCGGTGTACTTAAGAAAGCATCGATGTACACCGTAAGAGGAATCGGAATATCCCTAATTCGCTCTGTGTACATAATATAGTGCTTTCTTAAATACACGGGTTCAAACATTTAGCCCCATTATATCCACTACAAGTGGCACCAGACAACAGCGAGGTGCACCCAGGATCATTGAGTCCAGTGCCATGTAATTCGGACTTTGGGTGTTCCAAGGATTTGCCTTGAATTACGGGCTTTGCGGCTCCCTTTCCCACAGGCGAATGGTTCCATCATGAATTTGCGCAGCCATAGCACTCGTGGGTGGTGCCTGCTGGAAATGATGGCTGCAAACCTCTTAGCCGCTCAGCATCTTCTGTGTCACTGCATCGATTCTGTGTCTTCAGTGTCTTCAATGTTCAACGAATTGAATAAAACCCCACAGAGGATGGACATTCGGTGGACATCACCTGACTTGGAATTCCCCCGAGCAGATATAAGTGGAGGGTTTTCTTTTTGGTCGGTTTTCATCACTGAACGCCTTGGGTTGTCACAGCTTAAAGTGACCTGAGTGATTCAACCATCTTCAGCAGCGCCTTGCCGCGATGTGTGGACAGTGTGGACTCCTGGAATCGCCAAAGCTGAGGCGGTCTCCAAGCGCTCTTCCTGGATGTTCAACCCCCCTACAAATCCAGAAGGTAAACTGGACCCTCCTGGCACCTACATAACAGTGTTTCTGTCCTCACCACAATAAGCTACGACTGTATTTCTTAGGTACCAATCCAAACGCTTCATGGGACTGCACGTCAATGACCTCAATGACTGGTGGTTTTTGTTGGCGCATGGAGTCTTTGGGAGGAGGTTGGCCAACTCCGCCCCAATGGTTCCGTCCATTTTTCATGGGAAATACACATGAAACACATCCCTGGGTCATCCATGACAACATGACTGCACCTCCAGCCAGGACACGAAACGAACGGATGCTGCTGGTATCTACTACACATGTTCATGTAAGCCAGTATGGCCTACACTCACCAGCAAAGAAAAGGGTTTGGGTACAAAGCCCATGCCCACCTTTCCTGCATTGGGTTTTTGCTTCTTTTTCAGTGTTTGTTTTCCGCATCGAGGACAAACCCATCCTTGCAGCGACAGGTCCCAAGAGCATCTGGGCTGCAAGAGAACTGGACCATCAATTAGATATCAATTGGACAGTGCGTACACCTGTGTGTGGTTTTCCAAGAAGACACACAGATGTTTGGGAAGAAGATCAGATGTGTGACAAACATGTTCACTGAAAGATCGTTCGGAACTCACCCGTGACCATCGCCCTGCAGGTATCTTCCAATCTGTGACCAAGGCCCGGTGTCACAGTGACCGGTGTCGACACCGTCGTCTTCATCCCGTGTCACAGCCGGACAAGTCCACCGACACCGACCCGAAAGACCATTTTGTGGAACATGAACTGAGTGTGGGAGTCGGCAGATTTGGTCTCAGTGTCGGTGACCCCGGGGATGTTCATGTTTCATAGGGTATGAGCGTCTGACGCTCATGGACCCTCCTGGACTGACGGAGGGGTCTGGGGTCGAACCAATCCCGAGCCCAGACACGACTAATGGGACTGCCATATATGCCCATCCCATTGACTCCAAAACCACCCCTGGCCGTTCTCGGCAGTCCGGACTGGCAGTCCCAGACTCGTCGTGTTTGGGACTCCGTGCGGACGGAGCGGGCATCGATGGATCGGGGTATGGCGACATGGGGAAATGCCATTGATGCATGTAACAACTATATATATATATATGTTTGATATCAATGCTATGGTATTCAGGCACAACAATCACGGAAGAGCATGGATTTAGCTGAACTGGCTTTTGGGGATTGTGCTTTCTGTTCTGCTCTGCCCCAGCTTGAGAAGGATATAGGATGAATAGGACATGCCACGGAGAAAGAGTTGCCATGTACCGCTGAGTAGCCACAATCGGTCGTATTTATATGTTGGCCAGCTGATCTTTTTGGTACCTTCACGCGAGTTGGCACATGAGTCATCGGGATGTCTTTTCCTTCATCCGTTTGCCGGTCACATCCCCAACAAAAGACATCAAAAGGATCCCCCCCAAAGGGATGCAGAAGCAGGACCACTATGCAACAGCTCATCCGGGACATTCCGGGGACATCGACCTCACACCCGTTGGGTCTGACGGCCCGGATGGGATCCGGACGAACGAGTGCGGATCCGGACCACCCAGTCATTTGGACCCCAAGAGCCGCATGCACATGTTCGGTTCTAGACTGACTCTTAGCTGCTTTGAGCTATCTTCGAAGTCCCTTCACCAGTGGGTTTGTATGGTATCCTGTTTTTGTTGAGCCCTTTTTCACGGTTTTGACCCCCCTCGGCCAACTTGTTGGCCTGCCATCTCGAAACACTGATTATATCTTGCTATGGGTTCCCTTCGTGCCCAGTGTCACTTCCCCCGCAGCCTGTCGCGTTGCCAGGCTAGGATGCACAAGTTGCCACACAAGGGGCAGTTTTCTGTCACTTCGGATCAGGAGAGTGGTCACGGTCACGATCGATCGGGATCGAATCGCCGTTCGGGATGAAGGGAAGGTTGCGGGACTCGCGTTTGGGGCAGCTTGGGAGCTTGCTCCGGAGGTCGCCCCGATTGAAAGTCAAAGACATATCTTGCTTCTCATCTCCAAATGGTTTGGGAAAAGGCGCCAGTATGATCAGCATGTTTGCAGGATCAAGGTGGTGTGTTGGAAGTGTCACGGTGGATCAGGAGGCCGAGCAAAAAAAGAATACATGAACTTCTCGAAATGACATTAACTAATGACCTTTAGTGGATGTCCTTTAGTGGACCTTTAGTGAATTCATGTGGATTCCGCATTGTCGAAAGTAGACACCGTTCCCAGTTGTAAGTTGTTAGACGATGTTAGACGCCAAAACATCCAAGGGATGAAGGCAACAAGTCACGTTTGACACAGGAATGCAACAATTGATCAAACACTTCCGACGAATTGGGCCACTGAACAGCCAGTATACAAGCCAGGGGTGGTTCATAATATTGGTTTCAATGGGGAGAGATTCTGATTATTGGCAAGTGGGCACTGGGCTGCCTGAAGGGACTTCCTTGGACATATAGGTGGACATATAGGACATACCAAGTTGAAAGCATGCACCGGTGCCGAGAGATTGGTGTGACTTCGCTGGTTGCCAGGAGTTTGTGAAAGAACTTTCAAGTGATCTTTTGCACTGGAAGTGCAGGGAGCTTCATGAGAAGGACCAGGCGCTGTCCAAAGGGCCGGGGTGGCTGCCTGGAATTTTGGAAAGAAGGCATATACCTTGGGGTTCAAAACGATGAGCTGATGCACTCGGAGAAGAGGTACCCGCAATTCCTAGCTTGTGCTGTGCTGGTTGCTTTTTGTTTGGCTTTTTGATTTCCTTTTGAATTAATGCAGACTCTTGATTCATTTTGAAGCATCTGAAGAGGTTTCACCATCCAAACGGAAGCTTTCTTTTATAAGCATGGGTCTGCGGTCTATGCAGTAGCAGCTGCCTGGACGGAACCACCGCGGCTGAAGCCTCGTTCGGAACCAACGCGACTGCTGCCATCGGCGGAAGAAGATCCCAGTTGGGGAAGAGGGAAGTTCAGGAAGAGATGGTCTGTCCTATTGCCTGTAACAGTCAGTAAGCAATTGGCAATGATATATCATCAATTTTCACGATGCTGGAACAAGGCCTTTACTAACCATGGTCATCAATACTGGGACAGACCAAACGATATGTTAAAGAACTCACCAACGTGGCTTGAAGAGAAGCTTGGGATCACTCCCGTCACTGATGGCAGGACCAAAGATCCCAAGATCTACTGTATGTTAAATGGTCTATATATGTCTACCTGGCACCCATTTGACCTCTGTTTTGATAGGAAAAGACCATATTTGGGGTTATTGGTGGTCCAAAATAGAGGTCACAAACAGGTTCCAGGTCTATGTCTCTACCAGCCAATTGACTGGTCGACTGCTTGGTGCAGTTCGCCCGACTAGGAGATGTGGCGCTTCTACAATGCTTTCGCCCAAAGGCCCCGCGCATGGAGCGCGGCCGTTCTCCAGCAGGTTAAGATATGTTAAGACGCTCCATGCGTCCCAGGCCTCCAAAGGAGTTGGACTGTTCGGTAACAATGATTGTTTGAGGCAGCGCATCCCCGTAGGGATCGAGTCGTACCTTCTCAGAAGGTACTTGGACCCTCCAAACCTACAGAACAGTGTCTCCAATCACATTCTGAGAAGGTACTTGGATCTGATGGTCCATGAACCAACAAGAACCTGTGTGGTTACACACCATCCATATATGAACAGTTGCCAACCCCCGCAGATATGGATTGGTAGAGTCGAGTTTCTATCCTACCAGTTTTTGGATGTTCTACCGCTTTTTTGTGGGCTCAACAGTTCAATGTGACAGTTCTCACAATGAATCCTCCGGATTTTGCCCGTCCATGAACATCTTTCCAGGCTGCAAGTGCACATATCGCCCAGCAGGAGCCGGCTGCGTCACTTCTAAGCTGGGTCGCCGGGGCAGGTGCATTCAACACCAACATACACCAACCCCTCTCCCCACGATGTAGATAGATGGGGACTCGGACTAGGGCTGAAGAAACAAGCCCTGCCATTTTGATGGCGGCCAAATCACATTTTTGTACTTTCATGGACTTTTATGGGAGGACTCCTTCCAGTGCATTCCAGTGGTTTCTTTCCAGTCGACTCCTTTTGTGTTCTAGTTTGGGATGTGAACTCTCGGTTGGTTGCCTGGTTCTGTGGAGATGTTACCGTGCACAATTTCCTGGAGTAGCAGCAGCATGTACCACCTTTATCGTCCTTGTCCTTGTGCCTGTCCTTGTGTTTGTGTCCACTCTCCATGTGATGTGGTTTGGGGTTTTCAAACGGATCCCATCAAAATTTCAACCGGACGTTTTAGTCCAGCCACAAACTTGGGGTTCCATGTTAGCAACATTCTGGGGTGATTATTGAGTAGGGTAGGGCTCCATGGGACTTGGAGCTTTTCTACGTCCTTTCACCATCTTTCACCTTCACTTTGTACCAGGTCTACGTACACCAAAAGCCCAAGGGAAAAGGCTGTAGACCTTTTCTTTCCGGAGGAGCTTGGAGAGCTTCTGGAAGCGTTATCAACTGGGCGCGTCGGTCACCACTGCGAATCTGTACGGCTTGAGCCCCTTAATGCTTGCAACTGGGCTGAACTGGAAGGATAGCCCAGACACTCCATGGGACTGGTTTATTGACCCACATTGGGGTGGGCCATTTTCGGGGTCGATGCAGGCTATGACAGACATCGATCGTGTTTAGGTCGTGTATTTGGTGTGTTCTTTGATGTGCGGGAATGGGAGGGTTGGGAGGATGAGTGTGCTGGAAGTGCTTGAGGCAGAAGAGTCTGAAGAGTTGAGAACACATGCATCAACATGCTCTATGTTGGAGTTCCAAGGTCCTCGGATCTACTGTCCTGCAGAAAGCCCTACATCATTATGCAGTTTGATTGAAGAACCGTTAGTAAGTGAGTATACTAAACTCTATACTTGTTCATTCCAGAACACATGAGGTCATTTAGCCATTCCTTTGTTTCTCTACGTCGTTTTGCCTCCCGATCGCGTTTTCCGGCTGCGGCGAAGCCGCCCGGCCAGGCGTGTGTGGAAGGAAACCTGTCGGAGGTTCAGCTCCTCCTGGAAGCCAAGGCAGATCGGAGTCGACCCAGCTGGCTGGGGCCAACGGGGTGGACACCGACAAAGTCGGCGATCAGTCGGCTGAAGACTCAGAAGCTGGTTTGGAGTGAAAACTATAAGAGCCGCTTTTTGCATTGGCACAGATATAGATCTTCATAGTATAGATGTTCATCCAACGGGTCTGCTATTGTGTTCATACCTGAAATGCATGTTCATGTCTCTATGTCTCCGACAAAGGAAAAGGTTCTTCAGAAGGTCTACAAAAGCTCGGTGGTGCGAGCAGCAGCCGGCAGACTAGGAAGAACCAGGGCAGATGGACTACTTTTGCTACATATGAGGCCCTGCAGAGGTGGTAATCATTAGATTATGATGGATCATTCATGGCATCATGTTGCTTTCACATTGAAATTTAGTGGGTGCAATTTGCTAATTCCCCGCGCCATCGCCAATAAATGAAAAGACTATACCGTAAAATCAATAGTGACAACATGTATAACAACTAAATAACACTTGGGACGTGCTCGACTCGCCAAGAGGTGGCTCTATCACTCGCCGGAAACGACCGCAGCGAAACGCAACGCAGCGACACCCAACGACACCCAACGACACCGCGGCGTGGCACGCAACGACACCGGGCTGGCCATGGGGCTTAGAGGTTTCGTGGAAGCCTGAATAGCTTGACCTCACAGAATGGACCGAATCTGGAGACTGATCGTCACGACTCACCGTCCGATGGTCGCGGCAGGCCGAGGTCAATGAGTCCCGGCACACGGCATCGCGGCAAAGTCAGGAGGGTCGGATGAACAGAGCGAGAACGCTACTAGGAACAAGTGCCTTACTAGTAGTAACAAGAAGCTATTAGAAACAATAAGCTACTAGGACAAGTAAAGAAAAACACCACAAGATGGTAGAGGACAAAACGAACGTAACAAAGGGCGTCGCTGTTTTCACGGAGCGATCGGACGCTACGTTCGGGGCTCCTGGCCTTACGTACTATAGTAACAAGAAGCTATTTCAATCAATTAGAATTAGAATTATGGTGGATTCTTCAAGAAACTGATCTTTTTTTGCTGTCCTGATGCATCGATCCAAGAGAGTTCTGACTTTGAGGTTCAAAAAACTGAGACATCAGTCCGTCACTGGGGACTTCCGTCCAAAACGAACTGGTGAACTTGGACACAGAGAGGGCTTGGCCATCCGCCAGCAAAAGACGGCCAGCTCGGTGGGACATGTGTTTCTTCCTTTAACTCTCACAGGTTCGCTTGGCTTTGGAAGACACACGGACCATGGAACACTGGCCACTGGCTTGGCTTTGTCGCGAACACACCAAGTCATTCCAGGATCTGAGAACTCCTCGAAGCTTTCTTGTTCAGTGGTATGCTACAGTTAGAGCAATGATACACAGTGCACATCGGATCCACTCCTCTTCAGATGAAGGTGGAAAACACACCTCCAACATGCACTATAGATATATATATATATAACTACTATCCCAGACACTCCATGCATGGTTTATGTACCAACATTGGGGTTGTAGGCATATATGACAGACATGGAGTATTTGGGTATAGTATTGACCAACCAGAACCTTTTTGTGACCTCTATGAAACTCTATATGTGACATAGACCACCAAAATATGTATTTGTTCCTTCCGACCAACACAGAGGTCATGTGTGGGCAACTAGTATGGACCAAGCGCGCAAATGTCCAGCGTTTGTAGTTTGTTGATATTTGGCTTTGTTTCGTGTCTGAAGCTGATGTTCCAACCTTCGAACGCCGGCGCCTTCCAGAGCCGGTTTCTTCGGCTCCGTCGCGCGAAACGGCCGCGGCGAAACGGCGCAGAGACGACAGGTCATGGGGTCTGAGACCACCGCCTTGTGCGTGGCCACGATGTCCTCTCCACCGGTGGTGCGGTCCCTGTTGGACGCCAAGGCGGACACACAGGCGGCGACGGACACGGACGGAATCGGACGACGGGAGGGATGGATCTCTGTTCTGAGCCGTTCGGTTGTTGCTGTTTCTTTGGACAAACAGCATGGGCAAGCAGCAAAGAAAAAGCATGTGTTTTTTTTCCTTGGATTCCACGGGAAATGCGCAAGCGTTCCCTGTTGAAGGCGTCCAAATTTCCTATCATCAATGATCATGCTCCAGTCTCGCACGGTCCATAGTTGTGTTTTTTTATTTTGGATGGCTTTGTTTACAAAAGGTAAAACCAGTGCAGTGAACCTGAACCTGGGCTGTGCATCTGATTTCTTCAGAGGGATTCAGTTGAACAAAGGTACCCTGACGATTCCATCAAGGCCTTCCATCTTGGGGGCCGGCTACTGTCACTAGGGCTTGGAGTATACCAGCATGACAAAGAAGGGTTCATTTCAATCCATGGATGCACCCCATGCCATAGAGCTATCCAAACCGAAAGAGCACATGATTGACCGTTGGACCCTCCAAGACGCTTCACGTAGCTCGCTTCGCTTCGTCCGCGGATCACGCGAACTTCCGCCGAACTTCCGCTCGGTCACGGGCACATCAGGTGGGTCATCCGATGAGCTGGGCGGTGCAGCCCCTTGTCTCCTACGACGTGTCTCCTGTGTCCACAACAGGACCCACGGGACTGACTGGTGCACTGGGCTCCAGTCGTACCTAACTTGGTTTAAGGTGATGGCGGTCGGTGCCAGGGGGGTCCAACCATCTTCTGAAACACGACCCATGGTCTATATATTTGCATAAATATATACTGTACCGACTGTACCTCATTTTACCTACATTGACCCCGGAAAAGAACAGATTAAGGAGACAACCACCCCAATTGTATAAGGTTTACAGAATTTTAAATGCCGATTGACATCCCAGTGATTGTGTGGGGTTGAGTCAACTTACAATGCTCACAATTGGGTCTTGACCCCTTTTCGCGCTTCGCTCAAATGGTGTTGTTGAAATTGAATTAGCCTCAAAAAACCGATCTTTGATGACTGTCAGCTTTTACTACGTGAGAGCCTTGTGTGTTTGGTCATTATGTTTAGGGCATTTCCAGTTCCAGCCGGTATTTTTGAGGAAGGCCTTTACGAACCATCATCATCCACTGTTACTGGCAATGGGTTACACCTTGGGTAATACCTTGGGTTTGTCCCATTACCAGTATATAACAGTTGGTAAGCAATTATATATATATATCACTCATTATAGAGAAAGGCCTTCACTAAACATCATCATCCACTGTTGGGGTAATAGGACATACCCAAGTTACACCCAAATTATAGTGATTAATTACCTCTGAGGGATGTGATACGCCTGCATCTTTGGACCGCGGAAAAACAAAAAAAAACGTGATGGTTCTTGCGCTATGAGGCCGCCAATCCCAGGTATATAGTTTCTCACGCTCAATCCAGATCACGCCCAATCTCAGGTATTTGAACCTCGAGATTTTGTCGCTGCTACCGGAAGAGCTTCACCGGGAGAAGAGCGGTAGCGGTGGGGTGCCCGAGCGACGGGACGGAGGGGCTCGGACGGAGACTACAAGCCATGCCTAAAGGGGGGTCTTCTTGATCCACGACCGATGTCTGTCATAGCCTGCATTGACCCCGAAAATGGCCCACCCCAATGTTGGTAAATACACCAGTCCCATGGAGTGGTTTGGGTATGGAAGTGGATTATCGGATGTCGACCTGTGATGGGATCAAAGTGGTGTGCTTTCCACTGTGGGGTCTGTCGCTTTTGGCGTTTACGCTGAGAGGCGAGGCCGCTTGCTTAGGCCGGAGGTGGAGAGGGAGCATAGTTCAATCTATTTTTTGGTTTGAAGGTTTGAACCGCTTGACATGACTGACTGACTTGGTGCAACATGATTTCAACGATTTCATGGGCTCTAAAAGCTTCACCGGAAATCGTCTTCTGCCCCATGTTCTTCTGCCCCATGTTCGACGGTTTCGTAGGCAGACCCCCGCTGCAGACCCGCGCTGTTCCACCCTCGGAAACGATTCGGCACCGGACGCGGGGCATTTACGGCTGCGAACAAAACGAATCCAGACGGTGAGCAAGCGCTATAGAAAATACATGTCCAACCAAGGTTTCAGGGTTTGCAATTTTTCGCTGTTAAAGGTGCCCTCCACTTAACTATTTTGTGTTTTTGAGCTGCTTGGCCAAATGCACGTCTTTATCCCATGTCTCAAACCCAAGAACCCAGTATGCCAGCTACACAACCCGAAGACGAAGCCAGCCGTTTCCGAGTTTTTTTCTCTTGTTGCGATCTGTGTCTCATTCAATGGATCAAAGCCGGAGCGTGGTTCTCAGGTGATTCTCCGATCAATTTGGCCGTCCAGGCACAGTGCACTAGTCCCTGCGGTGGAAATTGAAGGACTTGGATCGTTGCTGGGAGGATTCTGGATCGATGATCATTCCTGAGCTGAAGCTGAGATCCATCTTGGTGAGGGTCAGGGGGCATCCAAACTGGTTCGATCCTGCACATGTGCGAGTTTCTCACTTCGAAACATGTCGATATACCCTCCGGCAAGCCCCCCACGTGTCGTGTGGGCTTCGGGCGTCAGATTGGAAACCATGAAACGCTCCGTTTTCCAGGACAAAAGCTGAGTGGATGGGGCAGACCCATGCAAAATCGTCCAAGGATTTTTGCATGTTGTGCTGTACTTTGACTGACTTACTGTAGGACCCTCCATTTTGGCCGCTCGGAGGTTCAAACCCCCGCAGTTCAAGTATGTGACTGTGCCCGGCCCATTTGAAAGGCTTCACAAACGTCACTGAACATACATCTCAAAACCCCAAAAAAACTAAACCTGACGTCAATTCCAAGCACTTCTACGAGATGTCGACGTGTTAGAGCCGGGACTTGTTGGGCCGCCTCGGGCTCCCGGGACCATCACCCAAGGCACTGTGGATGTCTTGCTGCAGATGGGTGCTGACCCGACCGCCTTGGCCACCACCAGCCGGTCCGGGGCAAACGGGAACGGGTCGGTTCGGGCGGTTCGGGGCGTGTGGCAGTCGGTGATCTGAACGTTCGGATCCTACTGGGGTACCCAACTTGGATAGTCTAGTTCGGGTTCTTCAACCTCTGTAATTGGAGCTGGGTTGAGCTGGGGCTGGTCTAGCTCTTGTGGCGGTGTTTTGTTGAGCTAGGTGTTTGAGCCAGTCCGGGGTCTAGAGGTTTGTCAGACAGCAAAATGCAACAAAGGCATTTTGGACTCTGGAAAGTCGGCACCTCTTGAGCTGCTTTTAGCCATGATGGGCCTTCATTCTCCTTTCCATGACATGAAACATACTTCAACACCCCCAAAAAAACATAAAAACTTCAACTCCCAGCATGTTTATGAATAAAACACCTCAACTTCAACACTAAAAACAAAAAGAAACGCATCAACACCCAGACCCAGTGGCGCCTCGCATCGTCGGCGCACGCAATTCTCCCGTCGTCGAGGTGTTCGGTGCAATTCTCGAGGCCTCGCAGCAGCTCGGCGTTTGGTGATGGTTTTTCTCCCACGGTCTGCCTCCGAGTTTGTTTCGGTCTGGATGGGGGGGCCTCCAAATTGGTGTTGGGTAAATTTCTAAGACTTCATGGGGCAGGCATATACTGAGTAGACTGGCATACACTAATTTGCATGCGGTGGTTGTTTTTCAGGAGTCTTTGGGCCATGTGCCAGAGTCCCAGAATCCTTCTTTTCATTCCCAAGTCGCCATGAACTGGGCATCGGTCGGCTGGTCGCTTTCGGGTTCGCAGGGGAGGGGGGTTTTCTTCGGAAAGTGCCAGCTTGGCACTCTGCTGCGCTCCGAGATGGGCCTCCTCAGAATCCTTGGACGCCCCCGAACGGTCCCGGGGTCGTCCGGAGCCGAGGTGCCAGGACCTCGTCCCGGTCGCCCTCTGACACTGAGGAAAGCGCAAATCGCAGGTCAGCTCCAACGTGAGCAACGCGGAGTCCTGCCAGACTCGACGGTGACATGGTGATCGTTTGATTTGCTAGAGTTCTGGTGGGTGGAATTTGAGGTGAACCAGTGAAGAACATCTGAACACTGGGGTTTGTCATTTGTCCTTATGCTAAGGACATTTAAAAGACTCGTTTGATCTCTTTTGTAGGGTTCCAACTGAGGCGCTTAGCTGGAGATTAGCTGGGGGGGGGTTCACTCTTTGAGGATGTGGTTGGATCCCAAAGAATCGGCTACTACCATGCTTTGGAGTCTGGAGTCCTGTGGTTTGATATATTGACCTAATACAACATGGATTTTTCCGCGCTGGCCCCCGGGTGGGTGGAGAGGACACCCAGTGGAATGACTCGGACTGAAGACGAGTCCGCAGGGTGATCCAGATCTAGGACAACCACTTGTTGGTTAGCACCTGGTCATCTCAGTGAGGTAATCCCAGAAACCAAATATACCAAAACCATCTAAAACCTCTTCAATCCACCCGTGAACTGGGTGTTTCAACGTATGAATGATTGTATGAATGCTTTTGTTGGATCTTGACCTTGGCCTTGAAACCAAGGTCCTTGAACGAAAAGCGCCGCAGCATGTGGCACGATGAGAAGATCGCAAGGTGGGGTTTGTGAACATTCCAGGGCTGAAGTGACCACTCCAAGGGAACGGAAAAAGCTCAGCCGGAGACCTCGAAAATTCTTGAAAAACAAACAATCCCATACACTCCATGGGACTGCCACATATGCCTACATTGGGGTGGGCCATGGGGGGGCCAATGGGGCGGCATATATGGCAGTCCCATGGAGCGTCTGGGAATGGTTCCTCAGCCGGGTTCTTTGCTGGCCCGTCCGGTCCGTCGTTCGGGATTTCTGACGGATCCAGAAATTGCGCAGGTCTACGGATGGGACACTCTCCAAGAAAAGGTAGATCATTTGACCTTTGTTGGTGGATTTGGGTGAGACAAAATTTTGAGGTGTGAACTCCTCCCATGGACTCATGCCTCGTACAAGAGCACTCATGAAGCGGATGTCATTCAGTTGCTTCTCCATTCCTGGTCCTGTTGTGTTCTCCAACTATATATTATAGGTGATTCTTATTTGCTTCTGCTGGGGACCCCAACGAAGGAACCAGGAATCACCCATGTGCACTCCCTTATGATGATACGTATGATAAGGGGCACCTCTTGGTCAACAAGGCCTTTGCCTCGGATCTGTGTTTTTGGACGCAGGTCACTGGAAGCAGCATCGGAGGCCTCCAACATGCCACAGGTGGGGCGCCCTTCCCGCCGTCATGGAATGGCCCAAATACCATCTACATGACTGGTGGGTTTTGGGTGTTTTCATGTATAGTCATACTTGCGCACTATGGATTTATTTGGGATTGCTGAACCCCTTTCTCGTGTTCCTCATCATTGCGGATGTAAAAGCATTGTGGAGACGGGGGGAGATTTGACGAATCAACCGGCAACATTGATTGGCTTGGAGATTATGCACTGAACTATGACAATGGTGCAGTGACAGGATCAGGGCATTTGACTGGATCAGATAATCAGATCTTTTTGATTTAGGACATCAGGACTTCTAAGTTTGGCTTGAACATGGCTCATGAGGTTGTTTCGCATCAATCTCGAATCGTAAGGATCCACATACATAACCTTCTCAGGTTCGGTACATCAGCGACCGCTTCCACAAGAGTGTCGAAGACATGACCCTCGATAGGAGGTGATTTGGATCCATAGCCCACTCGATCCATGGTGGCGTAATTACCACCAAAAACCACCAGTCATGTAGGGGATATTTGCGCCACCACGGATCGTTTGGTGTGGGGAAATTCTTATGTTGTCCCTTCTCCCCCACGATAGGGGTCCTTTTCCAGCAATCCCAAACAATCATCGCAAACATTCCATGCATGGAATATATCATGTAAATACTGACCTGAAATAATCCCAATCGTTTTTGCGGCATACATGGAGTGTTTTGCTTCAACTTGCCTTCCACTTGGGCGGTGGGTGACCACGAAGATCAAGAAATGTGAATGTGTGTGTGTGTGTTCGATTGGCAACCACTCCAGCAGCCGCTTGTCCTAGAAGAAGCTGATGACAAGAATCATTTTGAAGATGATGCTGATCATTCTAAGTAATTATTTATGGATCAATGGGAGGGGGAGGGATTTATGAATTTATAGATTGACTATATATTTATTGGTTGGTTGATGGACGGATTGCTTTGCTGGCCTTCGGTGTGCACGTGCAATCACCTGAAGGAGTTTTTCTTAAAAGTGTTCTCTTTGGGAAGCTGAGAAACAGGATGTTACATGATTTTGCAGCTTGATCCTGACATGTCACGAAAGGTAGCTTGAGCTGCCTGAGTTCTCCTTGCTTTAGCCAAAATTTATTACAATCAGGAGTTGGGATTGTGCATTGAATTTGGTCCTGTAAGAGTTGATTCTGTTCGTCGGGGGCACCCCCCGGATCAAATCCCCCCTGCGCCGGTTCACGCCGTCGTCATGGATTTTTACCAGGGTTGCTTGTGATTGCCTGCTACCTTTCGTTCACCCCCTCCTCTCTCAAGTTTGCTGCACAGTGGGCGGGCAGCGAATGTTTTGGGACGTGGAGACCTGACCCTCGTATACCCTCGTAGCATCAGTCGCATGCACTGGAACTGCTGGCAAGGGAAGATCCTGATGCTTTGGATCCCATCCTCACTTCAGGTAGTTGGAGCCCTGTGGTATGTACACTCCCTGACATCATCATGGCTTTTCCAAATACCAAACAGTTGGTCAACTCCACTTCCATGATTTGTTCAGGGAGTGCAAGAACTGGAGAAGGTATACGTACATTGGTCCGACCGGCGGCACTTTCAGGTCGAGCCAGTAAATGTTGTCTCCAAGAAGAGGGAGGAGTCTGCTCACCCTATACCTTTGACCCTTCTTGATTTTCCAGGGACACCTGACAGATATTCACGGATATCTCCACGGCCGACCTGCGACCGCCTTTCCACCAGGCGCGCTGGTGGCGGCGCGCCAACCGCACCTCGCGATCCACCACGGGATCGACGGAGGAATCGGCTGCCGGCGGGTCGCGGGCTTGACGGAATCGGACGGTGGATTGGATCGTGGAAAAAGGGGCTGGTTGGATTGGTTGGGTGTGTCCCAGTAGACTTGTAACAGTCGATGAACCTGTAACAGTCGATAAACCTGTAACAGTCGATAAATGAAACCATGACCAAAGGTTTGTTATCCGAAAAAAAACAAAAAAATCGAGGAATCTGAACAAGGGTTCCAGGCTTTTCACCCACAACCAAATGAGCAGAGGTGACAAACATTGACAAACCATGCGAATCTTAAGACAGTCATGAAGCCAGAAAATCATAAAGAAAGACAAAGAAAGGGTTCAATATAGTTTACTTCGAGCTATCCCCACTCACTTGCCCAGGTACACTGGGTCGGGGGTGACTAGCGAGGCATGCGTGCGTGCCTGGGCCATGGTGTGTTCTGGCTACTTGGCCATTGTGTGTTGGTTGCTTGCCACTGGTGTGTCGTGTTTCCATCAGATTTTTTGAGTTCTGTTTACTTACCCAGACCATCCACGGGACCGGACTGCCGCCCCAGAAAGACTGGCGCCCCTGGCCTGATCGGTATATACATGTCAGTCCCATGGTCTGGTGACCATGGTGACTATGGTAACCATGTTTCTTGGGAAAAAAACGGGGCCACCTCATGGGATCCACTGTCCACCTGGTGGGATCCCCAGCTGCGAGCGAGCTGCGAGCAACCTGCGGGAAGTAGTGGCCGTGTATTGGAATAGGGAGACACCCAACCAATGGGTGGACAGGTCATTTTTTCCTTTTGCTAGGGGGTCGTTCTGGGAGGCCTCTCTTTTTTGATACACTGACACACACAAATACACGTGTGTGTGTGTGTGTGTCACACTCTGTTTCTATAAGAGTTTCCCACCGATCACGCAGGGGGACGGGACTCCACTTGCACCGCCCGTCCAACGAAGAGGGTGCCAGTCGGTGCTGATGCAGTGGAGGACGCTCCACTTTGTACCTGCGAGTTGACAACACTCCACTCTTCGCCGCTGTTTTTTGTTGCCATGGTTGTTCTCATGATAGATACCAAAACAGTTTCCTTCACGCTAATTCGATCGGCTACGTATTCAGTAACTAGAGTCCGCAGTCACGCAAACCTTTTTCTTAAACACCTTCACTTCCACCGACCCAGCCGCCTTTCCGTTTGCGTCCGTTTTTTATGGATTATGGTTAACTGCAAACCCTGTGACTAAGTGTGGTGTGTGTGTGTTTTGTCAGTGTCACTTTTGGCTGTTTGTTGTCTTGTTTGTGATTGAACTGAGCAGTGTCAGGCATGGGCTGATGCCCTGCAGCGGCCGAGGTCAGGATAGGGTATATAGATAGTCTAGGTTGTCTCCGTTGTAGTTGTGTTTGGTGCTGCCGTTGTTTGTCTCTCAGAGCTTGTTGTTTGTTGTCTTTGGCATCGGGCGTTGTCAAATGTTATGTTGGTGGTGACAGCAGGGTCGGGCCACTGGCGGGGCACTGGCGCGACAGGGCCAGTGGCGAAGCACTGGTGTTTGGCCATAAGCAGGACCACTTAGGCTTAGTCGGGGGACTGCTGGGATCTTTAGTGCTTATATCTTTGGTGTGGTCATCTTGTGTTAATTGTTGTGTTGTTTGTCATTGGACTGGCTAGGCACTTGCCGATGTCCTGCAGCCGCAGAGCTCACAATAGCGTGGATGGTATATCGGTCTAGGATCTACATAGCTACCTCAATCCTGTCGGGCGGAGACGAATCTGAAGTTTTCGGTCACATCAAAGATTAAGACATGCTGACTCCTGTCAGCATGCTTCAATCAACACCCGTGCACCCTCCGCTCGATCCGTGGTTGTGATGCAGAGATGTGTGTGTGTGTGCACACATGTATATGTGTTGTTTTGTTCCACGGGTCTCCAAACGAAGCACCCATCGACTGGAGGGTGCTTTGAAGAGCCTCTTTCCTCCTATCATGGTGCTTCGGGGTCATGTCTACAACCTGCGGGGTCCTATTCGCAAAACTCCCCTTCCTCCATTGCAGGAAGACAGCACTTCATTGAGATCTTGGGCTGACAGAAATGGCACTGGCGGCCACTTGCAGACGACAGTGATGAACATTCATGAGTCGCCATTGTTTCATTATCGTCCAACATCTCATTGCCATTTGCAAGATGAAATAAGTAATGTTCCAAGGAGAACACGACATTCCCCCAGCAAGCCAGGGGTTTGAAAACAACAAATTGAGTCATGTCATTTTGAAGGTTTCCTCTTGGCCACCCGGGGCTATAAAGTACTTTGTCTTCCATGGATAGTTTTTGAATGAAATTGAGACCTTAGTGCATGAACGTATATCAACGTAGATGAATAAACCATCGATCGGATAGGCAAGACACCTGCGATGCTTGTCCGTTCACGTGGATGATTTGTGCCAACAACTTTGTATCCACTGGGTTTAAGCAAAACACTGTAAAGGATCGACCGTATCAATTATTTACAGAACCCCGGTCAGTTGACCAAACAAACTATTTTCTTCCCACCGCCCCAGATGTCATACCACTTGCCCTCACTACTTGCAGTAACCAATGAGGACACGTGCTGTCCAAACAACTTTGAGGATAACTGCGTTTTGAAGAATATGCTTGTTCAGTGTGTTCCTTTAATGGATACTGACATGTGAGCCAGTATACTGATTTGGCAACCATACCAATCTTGGCAGCACAGTCATGACCACTGCGTCATATCTTGCAGAGTTGATGGTGTGCAAGATGTCTCCACCTTATTTACTTGATCGTGAGTCAATATCACTGCCACGGTGAAAGGACTTGAGTTGACGGTGAAAGGACTAAGTTCTGCGTTTTTTTCGTCCACGCCTCGGCTTTCTCCACTTTTGCTCCATTCGACCGAAAAAGGTCACCGGAAGGTAGGCCGACTGACCAGCTAGGTCGACGCATGGCTCCAAAGTACCCTCCACCTTCGGGTTCCGACGTCCGAAGAGAAGGTCTCCAACCGGACGGCGAGACGTCGAGCGCGTTCGAGGTGTACGTTTCGACTTGAACCTCAAGAAGGCCCCGGTCTCCAACGTGATTTTTCGTTCGTGTGTGGTGAGGGACTGGTGGGGAGGGACAGAGGATTCGATTTGTTTGATTGGATCCAGGGACGCTAAAACTGCAGAGTTCCTCAAATCACAATGATATAAATGACAACATCCGATCCCTGTCTTGTCGTGTTGACATTCCACTGAAAAGGGTGATGAGTGGTTTCAATCCTTTGTCAAGCGAAGCCTCTCCTTGAACTCAAACCCAGCGAAGCGAAGCTCCGCAAGACTGGAGATTCGGAGCAAGTCGGAACTCGCCGGGCCAGAACCATAAACAAATATAATGCGCAGAGTCCGCCCGGTTTTGGGGTGTCTCATTCTGGCTCCTTAGAGGTTTTTCGGGGTATCTAGGATACCACCTTCAAAAAGCCCTGGAACACGTCTTTAATTTGTTACTGGCATTTAACTGATTTTCGGATCATCATCCCTAAGAGATCCAGTCCAACACCTCCGAAACAAAGGTACAACTGGAGCCCGTACGGCGTAAGTACTTATTCCTTTGCTTCATCACACTCCTCTCTCCGACGCCTTTTCGTTGGTTCCAGGCGGAGGAGGATAGCATCGCCACCTCCCCGACGAACTCCGCGTGGTCCTTCTACTCGGAGCCTGGGCTGGATGAGGATGAAGAGAGAGGTTCACTCCCTGAGGCTCCAAAACATAAGCTGACAGGATTTAAGGATCCAAAACAGGGATGAAAAACAGGATTCTCAACTTAAGTCTCCCTGGGGCTCCTCAAAACAGGATCCAAACAGGATTTCGCATTTCAATCCTGTTTGAGGAGGCTTTAACAGCTATACCCAAAGACCATAGCTCATAAGACGATTCACCTTTCGTCGAAAGTTAGGAGCTCCCCACGAAAAGTGGATCACCTGCAGGTCACCGTTCTGGTTTTCGGTGGATGATGGATGGGTCTTCCCACTGAGTGGTAGAACAGGTGGAATCATAGAAACAATTCAATATATGATAATGTTCCACTCAGTGGACCTCAAGAAACGATCACGTTTCCTCGCTTTCCTTTGTCGGGACGCTTCCGCTTCGGCACCGTTTCGGGCCCGGCCAGGCGTCCGACGGTCGGCGAGGGACGTTGGGCGTCCGACGTGCGGTGGACGCGCAGTGCTAGAAGGTCTGAGGATCCGCACGACATGACATACCTGGCATATCCTGGCATTGGAGCAAGCTCCGGGCGACCATCTTCCTCTCTGAGTTGATTTGCTAGATACCCTAGGGCCCTTGGGATCCAAGTACCTTCTCAGAAGGTGATTGGAGACACTCTTATGCAGGTTTTGAGGGTCCAAGTACCTTCTGAGAAGGTACGACATGGTACGACTGGATCCCGTCTTCTTTCGTTCAGGGTGAGACACCCCAAAAAGGCCAACGTCGATTCCACCAGCGGGCTCCTGTCTCATGAGTGGAGATTCGTGGGCGATTTCCAGAGCAAATCTGCGGCGCAAAAACCCATAGCAATCAGCAAAATCCACCAATTAAGTCGGCCTTTTGGTTCAGAAGTTCACAACCTTAAGAAAAAGGAACCACTCATTTATATGTAAGACCAAAATCAAAATTCAACAAACTCCTGAATCCTGAAGCAGTTCCTTTCTTTCAGGGCCACTGAAGCAGATTGCTCCGTTCCGGTTTCGCCGTGTCTTCCATCGAAAGAACACAAACTTCACAGCAGCAGATCGCTCGTTCTTTCTTCCGCGAACATCGAACGCGTGATCAGGATGCGAAGGGCGAGTTTGAGATTATTCAGGCACCGAAGCGTGTCGAATGAAGCGGGTGCCGCCACCGGTACCGTCCCAAACGCATACGCCCGCGCTCCGGGTATGTATTCCGGTGTACATACGGGGTCGACAGTGGGGGGTCGACCGATTAGGTCGAAAATTGGTAGGAAGTGCGTGGGTAGGGTATTTTGGGGTCGCTCATTGGGGCGCAGACATGGGAAGCTTCTGATGTCTATGCCCAAAGATATGCCCATGCTCTTCCGATGCTCTTCTGTCCTGTCGGGTCATGTTGGATTTGTCTTGATTCATGTGCTCCAAAACCAAAGTGTAACGGCTCATACTTATCCCGTATCCCTAAGGATCTACATACATACCTTCTCAGAATGTACTTGGACCCTCCTGGCGCCTACATAAAAGTGCCTCCAATCACCCTGTCAGTCGGTATGTGGATCCATAGGGTATGCTCATATCATATCGCTAGACATCTTGAAGCCTTTGCTGGTGCTGGGACCATGATGGACCGCTTTTCCTTTGTTGTGCAGGCGGGATTGTTCATGCTAAGCTGCGAACAATTGGCAATCAGAAGCAAAACCAGCTCACGTTATCCAATTTCTGCATGGTTGATGCTTGCAAATATATTGTTTACTTGTCTCATTAAACCTCTAAGTGGGAAGACGATGATTAGTTCGAATGACTTTGGGGTGGGCAAGCCCCCACGATGATGATTTTGAGAGTTCCCACGAAGAAGACGACCTTTCGAGGATTCGCCTTCCGCGCGACCCTCGCACCAGGTGACCCTCGCAAGCCCTTTGGAGATTGCATGCTACGCGGGGAATTTGGAGATTCTTTGCACCAAATGGTGAGCCAGTTGGGATGGGACAAAGGCATTTTCCGTGAGCTGGGTTGAGCTTATGGAGGATGGTTCTGCGTGGAGCATAGCTGTGTTTTCCTGAAAGAGATGCGTTGTTTGCAAGGGTTTCACAAGATGAGAAGGTACCATACATATTCGAGTCATGTGTTGCAGCGTAGCATTCACCTTGACTTGTACAACGAGAGCACCTCAGAAAGCTCAGTGCTTTTGTCAAGGTGGGCAGACCTTCAGAGTATTCTAAAGTTTTCTAAAGCAAGCCGCCCAGAGGATCCATGGTGAAATGGCGGCGTTTACATAGTGACCGACCCACATGCAATGACCTACATGCACCACCTAAAGCAACTTCAAATGTAGGCGATATTTGCTCACCATGGATCGTCTGGGAGGGACAACTCTCATTATATACATGTTGCATCATTTTGCTGGGTCTTCCTAGCCCAGCAAGTCCAGCCACTTATATGGGTGGGTCAAAACCGGCGTTGACCGTGGTCGTTTGATGTCGTTTGACCTAGTCTATTCTGTTCTTCCCGACGCGTCGATGCGGTCACGACTGGTTTACATGGCATTCTGCCACGCACCCAAACACATGTGAGAGGTCCACATGAGGAAACTAATTACGACTCCGCACTGCCAAGCGTGAACTCCCAAGCAGCTAGCTTCGCTGTCGACACACCAGACAAAATCCGAGCAAAGCGGACCTTCTCTTCCCTGCAGAAAAGAACCTCTGCACCATCGATGGTGCCATTTGGTAGCGACTTACCGATGCTCTTGTTGCGGTGTCTGTTGTGAACACCTGGAAGAACTTTATCCGAGAGGGATCTCGCGTGTGCAGCAAATTGCCGTATTTCACCTGTCAAGTCACGAAAAGTATGTTGATCAGGATCATGTTCAGGCAAACGAAAACCCTTCAAATAGAATAACACCGCAAGCTCAACATAGGAAGTAACTGCATCATGATGAACTTTCCACTGAAGACGATCAAAAAATTCTCCTAACACTCGCCAGCTCGGAGCTCGTTCAGCCCACTTCTCATGCAATGGAAGTGAAAGCAAGGACTCTTCCGCTCTCCAAGCAAACTCACCAGGATTGGGGTCCCATTCCCAGTGAGGAAAGAGGGAGAAAACGTTCTCGGAATCCGCTTCAGCTTCCATTCTCGCCTCATTTTTGGCATCCTGATCATGCTTCTGCAGTATTGCCACTTGGATGTTAAGATTCGTGAGCCAATCCTGGCGCTGCACTATGGATTTCTTGACCAGAGTTTCGTCATGAGGATGGATACTTGTTGCCTCCAAAGCATGTGCCTTGGCGAACCTATCCGCAAACCGATTGCCCATGATGTGGCGAACCTCCGTTCCATGGGAGTGAGCCATGGAGTACGTGATATGCTCCTCAGGTAGATATCCAAACAAGTGTGAGGGGACCCAAACCTAGTCTATTCTGTTCATGTTGAGGTGGGCAACTAGGGTACCCCCCCCGGTTTTGACCCTTTTTCGGGTGGACGGTGCACCTCTGGCACTCCATGAACCTGTCTTCTCATCGCAGCTGGTTTGCGAACTGGTGGCCTTCCAACTAGAGACGATCCAAAGGAGATAAGTACCAGCACCAAGGCGAAAGGGTTGTTATTGAAATAAATACATCGTCAGGGCATGTGAGGTATTGCTAGTCTTTTCTTTTCAGCACCTATATAGGACCTAAGAAGTGTTTTTCCATCGGCCAAGTACTAAGTGTTTCTGAGCCATTTAGTAGGAGTAGAGCGATCGAACTTGTTATGTATATATGGATTTCCCGTACTGAGATTCTTGGATTTCCTGTGAAATTCATTTGTTTCACGAATTTCACTTGGGCAAAGCCCGCAAGCCCCTACCCCAGGATGGTGCAATTGCTCTTCCATGCTGGGGCGGATCCGGAGGCCGAATCCGGAATCGAGCCTCAACACTGGGGCGGCATTGAGTGATCCACTGATGTAAGGAAAATGAAGGAAACTTTGGAATAGACCATCTGTATATCCAGTCCAGAGAAGATCAGATATTGAAGAACTATATACTGACTGTGTTCAGCAACGAGAGGAAGACCAGGGTGAGATGTTCTTTTTCCAGGGTGGTTTGCTATAGTATGTAGTTCAATAGATTGTTGGGAGGCGGGAGGGCATATGCATCGGGTGGAAGCAACCAATGGAGCAGACCATCATGGCTTCCAACGGACCGATCGTTGCTGGACCGGAACTGCCAGGCATCCCCTCTTCATCCGTTTGGCTCCCTGTAGCGATTGGTTCGAAAGCACAAGAGCAGTTGAGCGGTAGCGTTTGTGACTGAGATGGACGCCCAGCGTGCTTCGCTCGGTCCCAGAGCAGTGCCAGGTCATCCCAGGTTGCTCGTGGTTTGAAGAAAACCCCTGGACCCCTATAGTGGGGCTCCTGGCCTACCTCCGTCCACGTGGTGAAGAGCCCTAGGGTTGCTTCGCCTTGGGATCCGATCCACGTGGTTCCACGTGGAAGGAGCGAACGTGGAACGTGGGTGACCCTCCAACGGTGACTCATTTCGAGTGCAAAACCCTGTTTGGTGTGTGGAACATGGAGAAACAGTGTAGTTTTGTCCAGGTGCCAGGTGCCGTCCACTTCCATGTGAGAGGAACACTGAGAGTAACCATATTTTCCAGGCCGTTAGGGCTCCGTATCCCCAGGGAGTTGGTGGGGGACGACGATCAGACCAGGTGAACGAGCTCGTCGGTGGCCGAATGAGAGGTCTACTTCCTCGGTGAAAAAGCAAGGTGGAGGTGGAGATCTCCTTTTGGGCGGTGTTTGGGCAGTTTCAATGTCTTCGCAAAAAGTACTATGAATCTCAAGAAACTATAGATGCATACCAATGACCAAGGTCCTTGAAAAAATTATAGTTTCGTGGAGGGAACGCCACCTGTTGAACTGTGCGGAGAAAGAATTGATCCTTCCGGGGCCATCCACCTTGGCCCATCGACCCCTGAGCGGCTTTTATTGATTGATAGCCCCTTAGATGTCAGGTGTCCATGTCTACCACCCAACTCCAGTGGGTCCTGGATGATTTCAGGAAGTCTATCCCAGGGAATCCAGTATATAGCTGGTAACCAGTGGTTCCAATTCGACTAAAACCATAGACCGAACGAACTTATACAGTGGATTGCTTGGGATGCACTGGGTAGATTTTTGTGTTGGAGCGACGTGCAGGATGGCAGCGATGGCTACAGTGCTGTGGACGTGGCGGAGGCGACGTGGCGACGGGCGTGGCAGGGCTTGACGTGGCAGGACCCGTCTCGATTCTTTGGTCGAATTCTTGGTGCATGGGTGCACGTGTGCAACAACTTGTGCGGGAGAACAAGAGAGAAGAGTCCAGCGGCCAGCCAGTTCTCTTTGTTTGCAAGGTGTTTGGAGATATATTTTTGACATAACCGCGGAAGCTGGAAGTTTTCTCGAATGAGTGCATTTCTTTTCCACCGCCCCAACAAAAACACAGAGTTTTCTGAGATTTCACGAGCATCTCTCTCCCGCCGTCATGCGTGAGGCCTGTGGGCACCATCACATCATGCGTTTCCTCTCCATGGCAATGCCTTTGCAACTGGACGCGGAAAAGAACTGCCCGGTTGAGAGGTTGAGAGACCTGAACTGGGACCCTGTAGTACCTATGGGAGAGGCGTTAAGGTCTGTTCCACCTCTCTCGGTGTCGCTCCTCACAATAGGGGCCCTGCTCCGACCCGACTCCGCAGGAGCGCTCTCCGGAGCGCGGAGTCGAGCGGAGTCGAGCGAGGGCGGAGGGTGGCCTGGGATGCGCGATGAGATTGAGATTTTGTGGCACCGCTGGGGTTCACCACATGTGGAATTCCGGGTTTTTTTAAGAACACTGACACTGGAGTTCTGGAGTTCTGGCAAAACGGAACATGGCATGCCCACGTGCAGTTGCATCGATTTGTGGTGCTTCTACAGGTTGAAGATGCTGGGAGTAGTTGACTCTTGTATACTCTGAGGATCCAACATGAAGTGTCTCCCGCTCCAAGGTCCTTTCGAAGGTGGTGATGGGTGCCAGGGTGTACCTGAGGATATGGGGGAGCCCTAGAGTCTCTAGAGTGTGTTTGTTTTGCTCGTCCCCAGACAGCGCAACGCGCTTGCCGCAGCTGCGTGTGTTGTTTTTTCCAGACAGCTTGGCGGCTATCCTGCATTGGAAGTACCCAAATTGCCGTGAGGCCTGGGTCCATGGTGGGTCGAAAAACTCCAGAGTTCTGACAACTAAACCTGGGGCCCAGCAGTCACATGTCGGGGTGCGATCCATGGAGGTTAGGGGTGCCCAGCTACTCCACTCACTTAAGGACTAAACACCACCCCTTTGTGACTCCTGGGGCGAGTTTTGTAGTTAGACCCTTCGATGCTTGACCGTCTTTGCCCTCTTCGGCACCCAGACGGCTTTAAAGTCGCGCCGCCCGCCGCACCTGGCGCCGTCTCTCCCGTCGTGACCGAGGAGTTACGTGACCCTTTGAACCGGTGAACCGTTTGGTGCCCAAGGGGCGTGGCTGGGCATCCACTGGGTGCCAGTGGTGGACATGCTGGGGTGTGGCCGTTTCTGTTTCGACATGGAAGACATGTGATCTTGGACCCTTCCTCCTCAAGAATGCAAGTGGAAAAGCCTCACTATTTGCAGCTTGGATTGTGGTTTTCGGAGCCAGATTTGTTAGTGATGCTTCTTGTTTGACCATGTTTGGCCCTACCCCGGCAGTGAGACCCCCTTGACTCCAACCATTCTCGAGCCAGATTCAGTAAAATCATGTAAAATCATTAAAACACAGCTTGGAGTCCCGGTGGTCTCGCGCGTGAACTTCGCTGTCCCTTTTTCCCCTCCCAGTCGCGCAGATGAAACATCCCTGGCACTATCTGCCGCTCGAACTGTTTGGCACTGCCCATTTTTGGTCCCTCACATCACCTAGTAACAAGGGCATCACTACTAGCAACAAGGGCGTCGCTAGTAGTAGCAAGGACGCTACTAGTAACACGGGCATTATGGCATTACTACTAGGGGCAAGAAGCTACTGGTAGCTCCTGGCATTACTATCATACTCATATTTTCGTGGGATCTGAGGGCGTTTCGTTGTTTTCACGCGTTTCAACACGCGAAAGAGGCGCCGCACGCGCGCGGAGCAGGAGCAGGATTTCAAGAATCAGCTCGCCGTCGGCAGTGGACCGCCATAACCAGAGCTCATCACCTGAACCCGAGTCGAAAACCAGGATCAACCAAGATTGAAAGGACCTAGCCAGCCCTTCCATATGGGTGTGTATTGAAGTAGGGCCATCTTCTGAAGACCCTTTGGAATATGTAAGGAAAATAGTCTGAAAACCTTCTAGGGGTTCCCCCAAGTCGAAGATGAGCGCAACTCAAGAGTTCGGAAACACAAATCATTTGGAAATCGTTTCGATGTTGATCCCAGTCCGTGCCCACGATGCACTCAAGAAAATGTGTGACTCCTGGTCCGGGTCCGGATTCTTTTTCCTTCAAGACGGAATGGTGGACCCTATTGCCGATGCACTCCAGTGGCACGTGCACGCGCACGTTGAAGTCCGTCCAGGATTTCGTTTGACCTCGTGGCACGAGTCGCTCGTGGCCCGGCGGCTTGGGGTGCAGGACACTCCATCCCTATAGGAATCCGTTGTCGTGCCGAACCTCAGGTTCGACACTGGTCCCGACCAAATCGTACCTGCCTATATACGTAAACAGTGTCGAAGAGATCACCGTACCTGAGAAGGTATGACTGGATGCCGAACGGGCGTGTATGGCAGAAAGCCATGAAACGGAGGTACACCTGCCTGGAACCCCAAACAACCAGAAAGAAATGGATGTTTCCCCAAACAACCATTTCCTATGTAAAGGATTTTAATTGCCATATTGGAACAACCATTTGTTTCTAGTTGTTTGGGGTTCCAGGTGGACCTTCTCGGATAGGTCCCATGTGAGCCCGACCCCTCCACTTTGCTACCGGCATTTGTAGCCGGTAGGACCACACGACCAAATGACAAGCCCGTTTGGGCTCCAGTTGGAGCTTCGTTTCGAAGGTGAGGTGGGTAGGAGGGTCCAATACCTTCGAAGGTATGACTGGTGGACTGGAGCCCGTTTGGGAAAATCATCTGTGTCCATGGAGTTCTCCTGAGCCCGGAAGAGCAGGAGCCGTGTCCATGTTCCACTCGGGAGCGAAGCAGACCGAACTTGGAGTCAAAGGGTGGAAGTCGAAGTCCAAGAAAGGTAGCCAGTAGCCAGTGACCTGAACGGACCCGGAACTACCTGGGGTACCCAACTGGGATAGTCTAGTTCGGGTTCTTCAACCTTTGGTGGACCTCGAAAGATGGTGACTTTGCCAATTCCACATGAAAAGACCAGCCCTGGAGCCCAGAGCATCGAGCCGCAGTCCGGTGACACAGCGCGGTCGCAACACAGCGCGGCACCGGCGGTGTTCGGATCGATGCGGTGCTGGCGGTGCTTTCGAGGAAGAACATGCACTCTACCAGGACCGACACCAGTCGAGGTGTCTATAAAGAGCCTCGGTCATTCGCTGATGACCGGGGTGTCCTTCCAACCACCGGACGAACGGTTTCGGTCCTAGGGGGGTTTGGTGGGGTGAGACGGTCACTGCGGACCTAAAGTGCTTTTGGTGAAGATCAGGTTTGATTGCTTCATGTTTTCTTCGTTTGATCAGTTGAGAGACTTGACCGTGGCACTACCTTCATTGAACCTTCATTGAGGTGATGTACATAAGAAATAAAAACTATTCCAATTCCACGGCGTTTTTCAGTCATGTGTTGGGGAGTGTCTACGTTCCAGATCACCCCTTTCGAGCCGAACACCATCGCGAGTCGCTGCACGAGCTGGCGTGGAGTTCGCCCCATGTGCACGATGGCGGATCGAACGCGTGCGCATGTGGTGAGCCAGTGACACAACCCGCTGCCTTTGGCAGAGTGAACGAGCTGAGGACGGAGTCCGTTGATCCAGCGTGAGAATCTGTGTACTGTGGAGTGTATCAGTTGGAACAAAGATGCAATGTCACTCCGTAGTTTTCAGGAATGCCAAGTTCATCAAGTTTTGTCCTGGAAATTGTAAGCACGACGACATACAATGACTATTCAATAAGTATATTTGAATAAAATTTACCTGGTGCCTGGTGCAGTGCAATAAATTTCCTCCAGTTGCCACAAGTAAGTTGCTTGGTTTTGCGTCCGTCCTGCGTCCACTCACGTCAAGTTAAATATGTCATGATCAATGCAATATTTGTTTGTTGTATAGAACTGTGTGGCTTCAGAACTTGCTGTTCGCTGCCACGAAAGCGACCACAGCACTGACTATTTTTTTAAAGCTGAAGTTGAAGTGGCAACCAAACGACCCATGAAGTATTCTTCGTGAAGGGTTCCAAACAGTCAAGTGCTTGGTGGAGCTCCCACCTGTCAAGCGCTTGGTGGACGCCGTGGCATACCACGCCTTCCCCTTAAAAGAAGGTGGTGCGTACGTGGTCCTTGCAATCGTCGCAGACAGGTTGCAGCGTCTAAGAAGTTGGACTTCCAGGTCGTTCACATCAGTTTTGTCAGGGAGGAAGGCGATCCCAGAACTGGGCATGCCCTACTCATTCCCCTGAGCTTGTAGTGATCCTGGAGTGATTTCCAAGATGGCGTACGGCGTACGGCGCAAAGGCGCTCCGCTTCACATCCAAAAGCCCACGAAAGCAGCACCAGACATAGTGAACGGGGGGCCTCATAGCAATCCCATTTGGACCCCATGGGATTGACATATTATTGACTTGTTTACACATGTTTACACATTTACATACGTAAACATCGACCCTGTTTCCATTGCCCAATGTAGGTTATGGGGCCCCATATGCCATACATGGAGTGTTTTGGAATAGATAGGCCACATCCCCCAGAAGAGCTTGCCGCTTCACGAAGTGGCTGTTGTTCTTCAAGACAACGAGTGCGAAGAGGACAACGTTTTCGCAGCAAGGCCCTTACCCAAAGAGGAAACAAAGGATCTTGATGCAAAAGGAGCAACGGCATCACAGAATCGGTATACTCGATGTTTGACCTTCCATGTTTGACCTTCCTAGGTGACCTTGTTAGGACCAACTAACATTGGAGGCGACTAAGAGCAGTACGGGGAAGAACTGTATTCGATCTTCTTTCGAAGGAGTTCGACCATATTCCGAATACCAACCCAGTTCAGTGGTTTTGGGGTTCCATGTTGATCTGCAAGGGAGTACTCCAGGATATGGTTTAACTTTAAAGGCACTGGCAAAGCCTTGCCATGATGTCGCAAGTGCCTTGAAAGCGCGGAGTGAGAACGAACACCCTTCATCTTCGGGTGGGCTTCGCTTTTGGACCTGAAGGAGATCCACTAGAATCACTCGAAAGCAACAGAGATGCTCACTATGCCTCTGCCAGTGTAGGGGGATCTGGATATCAATGATGGAACAGCTCCACATGCAGACAATCGCGCTTGCTGAAAAGCAGAGTGGATGTATGGAGCATTTACCTGCCTACGAATCTAACACAGAACCTGACAAAGCACAGCAGAGGGACCGAATAACCTGTTGTGTGTTTTGTTTTTGTTCTGTTCGGGATGGGTTTCCCCACAAGACCAAAACAGGGTATCACTTGCATTCCATAGATTGTGTTTGCCCAATGTCAGGATATTTCAGTCAGCTCAGAGGGTGTTTTGGGTGAAGCTGTTGCCTCTCAGTCCTCACGAAGTCTCTAGATGTTCCGTTGCCATGGTTGCTTTGCGTGCGAAACTGCCTCGTCTTCGTGATGACGACTAGTGATGGAAGAGGGCACCCTTCAACGGAACGCCCTAAAAACAGCAGGTGGGACGCAAATCCACATCAAATAAGTACGGAAACGACCACCATTTGGATTTCCATCTGGATGGCTTTCTCGTATGGCGATGGGTCGTGACCCATGCAGCCAGGTAGGTCAGACACGACACCAGATAGGTTAACGGTCCTCGGTTATGGTGCCAGTCTCCCGCCGTATGGTCTTCCAGTCCATTTCTGCTGGTCCTTTCTTTGGGTGCGCGGGTGGGCTACTCAGTAGTATGACTCAGATGACTCATCAAATGTGTGTGTGTGTGTGATGTGTGTGTGTGTGCGCGTCGTGAGTTTTGAATGTGGAACTTAAGCCCTACCCACCGGTCTGCGAGAGACCCTGAAGGACGTTGATGCGATGGGACGCTAAGATGGGACGCTGAAGCGACGAAGATACCAGAACCAATGGCTGTCGATAGACCAGAACCAATAAGCCCTAGGGCTCCAACCGCCTCCTGAGGTTCGGTGGTTGGGGTGGGTGCCAGGGGGTTCTAACCACCTTCTGAGGATATGGTTGGAGCCCTAGGGAAGGTGAATTCGAGGCCGAAATGAATTCAATTCAAAGTGAGAGGGACTCTTCGTCGAGCATCCAAAGATGGAGGGTGTCAGAAGCCAGTTGCCAAGCGGATCCAGTCTAAGCTGTTTCCAGAAACAGCTTTCCTTGATGAACAAAAACATTTGAAATCTCAAGACGCACACTCCCTGGAACAATCATGGAAGTAGAACATGGCCCCATGTTGGATGACCATGAAATCCAAAGATGAAAGAGGGGGTTTTCACTGACTCCACTTCCACTTCCTGATTCTGTATTTTGGAATATACCATGCTTACTTAAAAGGACCCCACAAGCTGCAAGGAAGCTGCCAATTTTCAATTCAAAGCCGCTCGGATTCGTCCGGTCGTCCGAACCGAGTGGGGTGGAGCCCCCTCGGTCCAACGGCCTTTCTTCTTCGCCGCGGAGCAGTGATGTCACGGGGCGTTGAAAAGGGGCAGTCTGACCGGATGGGCACCCCTTTTGAGGACGGCAGGATTAGTATCCACGACTTTTCTATAGGGATGTCCAACGTGTTGTTTTTGTTGACCCGAACTGGGTTGAATCCCCAGACATCTGTGGGAAACGATGTTTTTAGCATGTTTTTATATGGCCTTTTTCCGGCTCCTGGAGCCGCCAATCCCAACGCACCTATGTGTGGCGAACCCACCGTGCCAGTCCGTTCCCGCGTCCCACGCATCGAACGACACGGAGGCATCGAACGAAGAGATCCCCCAACATGGTGGGACATGGTAAAGAAGCATAAGGAAGCTACTACTGGTATGGAAACACTTGATTGTCATACAAAAGGAAACACTTGATTGTCACACGAAACACTTGATTGTCATAGGCGGACAAGCGGACCAGGTTCTCGAGTTTTCGAGAGGGGAACTACATAAGAGTTGACCATGGTTTCGTGGCCCAGGTCATGCATTTCAAAGGCAGCTTGGAGTCTCTTGTCAAAGACTCCAGGAGTAAATTTATTCATGGTCCATTCGTTGGAATGTGTGCATACCATGTTTTGCCTCAAGCATATCATGTGATCCAGGCCTACCCGCAGAGGTGTTTTGGTGCGAGTCCAATATTTGACCATATGAACCTTGGGACATGGTCCAGGTGGAATTGAGTGGATGTCCAAAAAAGAAACCATGTTAGAGAGAGAGAGAGAGGGCAAACAGTGCCCAAACACTTCATTGGACTGGCAATACATGGAGTGTTTGGGGTGTAGAAGTGGGTGTAGATGAAACATGCTGAAACACCATATTTGCGTGGTATTCATTTAGGACATGTGGATGCGCTTTTATCGGCCAGGGATAGTGGGGCCAGCTAGGATGACTTCCCCCTGTACGGTACATCCGTACATCTTTGGGGTTTCCTCGTGTCACTGTGGCTGATCTCACAGGCCCGGTCGAGACTGGTCGGGAGACCATGACGAAGGGGGCGAGAGGACCTGAGGACTCGAACCCGGAGTTCATCATTCCACACCCATCTCTTAGGGGGGGGTTCAGGGCCGTGATGGGCCGACATGAACACCAAATTCCTGTGGATGTGGTGTCTTGGGTGGTCATCTCCGCTTGCAGGAGCCGAGGGCCGGAGCTGAGGGCTGGAGCTGAGTGTTTCAAGTGCTAAGACATTGGCAGTTTTAGACCAGGGAAACACCCAGGAAGGGGGGGACCTTACGCAAGATTGCAAACCTCATCGTTTTGCTCACGCCGATAGAAACAGCTTGAAACAGCATCGAGAAGAACCGTTGATGCTGGGGCATTAGGTCCTACTCCTCAGAATTCCATTGCACAAGAGGCGCTTTGTGTCGCCAAACTTATTGCTGTCTTCCGGCTTCGCGATGCTTCACATTCGCTTTCAACGCAAAAGGGACGGAGAACCGAGGGCAATTTTCAGGGTCATGGTCATAGTTTGACTACCGAGGTTGGCACATTGTTTATGTTTGTTTGATTTCATTCCATGAAAGTAACAACTGTATACTCACCAGAAAGAAAGGACGGAAATGAACGTCCTGGACGTTTGGAATTCTTCGAGAGATTTCGAGAGAGATACGAAGATCATGTACGAATTTCCTGCTCCAGATCCGGCTAAGGAAGCCAATCTAGGTTTGGTGCTGGAAGTTTTCCGGCTTACTCATAGTGTGTTGACCACAAGAGACGATGTTGATCGATTTAGTCATATTTAGTCTATCTCACATTTGCTTGGTCTAGGAAATGGGTTGATGATTTTCTTGTTTTTGAGGTGAGTGATGTGTTACTTCCATGCAAGACATGCAGCCATGGGTACCGTTTTTACAGCTCAAGCTGCAGCAGCTTCGCAGCTTCGTAGAGTTTGAACATCAATTCGGCCGCAGGACATGTTTGGACGAGACTTGGGCGCATTAGACTTGAGTTGTACAGGGGACAAGGCTAAGACCTGTCGATCTTTGATATGATAGAGATGCCTTCCCCAGCGAACATGCTGAGCACCCTCTGTCTGATCGGTCATCAGCTGCATCAGCCGGGGTGCCATGATTGCCTACATGCTGTTTTTTGGTGCATGTTGGTCACCTGCGATGTGTCACATGTGTTGATCATTCTTGATCCAGAAGAGCTGAGCCATTCTGATCCCCGCTTGATGTCCAGCGTTCCGCATCCCAAGCAGCGCACCTCAACAAGCGCCGCATCGCATCTCAAGCAGCGCACCAAATCCCCTGGATGGAGGTAGATCCCCCTGGAGGGAGACGCCTTCTGGAGATTGAAATCAGTGTCCCAAATGAGTGTACAGTATAAGATGATGTAACACCGATGACTGAAAATAACAAGACTCGACCCGAACCCTTGAAGATTTAAACATGATCATTTGGTGATGTACCAAAATTGCAAGTCCTGGCTGGGCAAACATGTTTGTTGCCCACATCTCGAAATGATTCAATTAAAACCATCATTCCTATATATGGAGCTTCACCCATGAATCCCATGTCTCTTTTTAAGTCTTGTTGGCCGCTCCTCTTCGTCCGCGCGACCGGTCCCGTCGAACGAGGACTCTTTGGACGCAAGAAGGAGGCCGATGACACCCCCGCCTGTACCTCTTCGGGCATTGCCCGGAGCCCGAAGAAAGCGGTCGGTGAACAGCGATCGTGGTAGAGCCACGCTGTTCACCAACAAAATCCATGGGAGTCCGCAGCTTTCGTCGGGAGTCCGCAGCGAATCCGCAGGGATGGCTGATTCCCAAAAAACATGTTAGGTCTTTTTCCTAGCTAGAAGCTACCAGGTTGGAGGCCATCGGTAGTAGGCCATTACTACTTAGTACTATAGCTAGAAGCTACGAACAGGGCATCGCTTTTCCTCGGTCTAGAAACTCTGCGCTCGGTCTAGCTTGGTCCACACAGCTCCACAGTGGCATCGCTTTTCCGACTCCCAGGTGCACAAGGTGAATCTGCCGGATGGTCCGTCACAGATGTACTACGATGAGGACCGACACGGGAAGCAAACATCAGAACACAGACGGCGCGTGGGAGCGCAGACGCGACGGCGCAGACGCGACGGCGCAGACGCGACACCAGGAAACCTTGGAACCTTTGGCGCAAATGGTGGAAAAAGAACAGAGCTTGCCCTTGTAGCCTTGTAGCTCAATTGCCCATACCTGGTTGGTGATGTTTTATGATCCCTTTGGGTAAATCCCCTTCTGGCCCTTCCAAAGCAAGTTTTATTGTACCTGGTTCCTTAAGCAAGTCCAATTAAGCCTAGTATTGGCCTTGCAAACTCCAAAATCATGCCGAACTTCCAAAGTCAGAAGGGCCAGAAGATCTGTTTCTAGGTGTTTCGGGCCACGTCATTTGTTTTTTATCCTTGCACGTTTCATTTGAGTTTGAGATATTGGGCTGAACAAGTCTTAGGGTCCATCCCGGGGCTTCTTTGATCTTCGTTGCTTTCATTTTGGTTGACAGCCTTGACAGCCGCTGGGGTGTTTTCTCGATTCCAGCCTTGACAGCCCGGGTGGCTACTCATTGCTCACCTTTTCACCAGTTGGATGCGATGGATGTTTGCTTGTTTCTGACACACTGACACGATGGAGCACATACGTTTGTGGAGGAGAAGCAACGATGGCGAGAAAGGGGGAAGGAACACTTGGAGGAGGCTGGGCAGGGATGGTGTTGGAGGTGCACAAGTGTCCTTTCCCATCGTCAGAAACCTATATATAGTTCTTCTCAATAATTCTCAAATTCATCGGAACATGATACATGCTGTTATAGCTGTTCTTTTGCAAGATGAATCCCAAACACTCCATGTCTGTCATATATGCCTGCATTGACCCCTCAAACTACCCCAATGTTGGTAATTAAACCATACAAGGAGTGTCTGGTAATTTGCATCCATGACATGGCGGCCATTTCGTGGGGGTTCGGGTCCTCACCTCGGAATTCACCTGCCGTACCCTCGCTCGGAAGGCCGTTTCACGGTCCAAAGCGCGGCGGGTGTTACTGGTGCAGCTCGGGTCATCCCGAGCTCGATGCGCCCAAGCGGTTCGTCGGCTTGGGGGGTTCCTAGATGATCAAACCGGATCGATGACATGGTTCTTTGTGACACTGAGGACTATATGTACGACATATGACACTGAGTGTGTTCAAGAAAACCATGTTGCAAACCTGTCTTCGAGGCAGCTGAGACCTGTCATGAAGAAGATGAGAATGCATAGACTGGATTCATTATTAGTTTTGCCTGTTGCCTTGTTTGGTGTAATTGTGAAAAAAGATGTTTCAACCAGGCTGGAGCAACTCCAACAACCTTCCCGGAAGGTGTTCGACTTAAGGACCACCAGGAAGCAGGTGAAGCAGCATCATGCATGCAAAAGACAAAGGTCGCCTCCTTTGAGAGCCTCCTTTCCTTGCGCGCGCGAGACGTGCGTGCGCGCGACATGGCGCGCCCTCGGACGACAGACTTGGAGAGGGATCGATCAACTCCCAAAGATCATGAGTTGCAGTTGCTATCCCTATACAGGTTCAGGTTCGGTACGACTGGACATGATCCTGGCACCCACAGAACAGTGTCGAACACATCACCTTCTGAGAAGGTACTTGGATACCTATAGGGCCCTAGGGTATGTGTACCAGACCAAGCCATTTGACCCGTGTTTTGGGTGCACTTGGTGCTCCAAAATAGAGGTCACTCAGACTCAGGGTGGTTCGGGCGCCATAACACTGGCATCATAGGACTGCTTTGAACATGAGATTTCCTCCCTGGCGCCGGTACCTGTGAAACCGAGCGCAATACGTCAAATCTGAATCGTGCACTGACTGGGAAGTGGAGGGATTTTCCGAGGCAAAGAAAACCTTGTGAACTTTTAATTCCAGTCAAAGCATTGGAGCAGACACTAGAAGAAAGTCTCCAGCCAGGAAGAGGAGGACTACGGCGAACCTCCGGTGGATGGAGAGGAAGTCCCCGAGAAGAAGGAGCGACCGGAATGGCGTATGCGTATCGGAAGTATTGCGGACACCTTCGGAATCCGAGCGCGGAATCCACACAGAGAGCGAACCTGAGTGGCGCACGATTCATGTGCCAATGCCAGAAGCCCAAAAAGAGCGCGCCAGATGCGCCTGTGCGGGCCCTCATGATCCAGAGGAATTGGATGGGGGTCAGATTCAGGATTCGGGATAAGAAATACTGATGGCTTTGCAAGGAAGTTGCGGAGTAGGTGGTTGCTTCTGGAACGGTCCCTGATGGGTCGATTTGATGCGTGCTACAGGGTCAATGATTTTGAATCAAGCTATGAATCTCCATTAGTGACTGGTTTCGTGTTTTTTCATTCCCAACAAGCTGCTATTGCAGGGTGGGGTGCCCATTGTCCACTTGCATAGGGTCTAAAGACAATCGGTGTCATATGTCCAAAGAGTTTGATCCAGTAGTCAGTTTTAATTTATGAGTTATACTTCTTAATCACGTTTTGGGGTACAATCACAATCTGCTCAAATATGCCTGGATGATGCCTTATTTGTTGGAGCTTCGCAGGGCAGCCCGGTTGCTAAGCCAGCACAACCTCTTGCTCATCTAACCTAGGCCTCAGATTCGAAGGATTTCCACTGTCTCCCTATGGATCCACATACCGTTTGACAAGGCGAGTAGAGACACTTTCATACAGGCGCCATTGTCGGGTCCAGTCGTACCGAACCTGAGGTACGGTGGATCTGTGGATATTTCGAAGAATCGGACCTTCAAGCAACTGCCATGCTTGACCAGTGATTGGTCTATTTCGATGACCTGTTTCATCATGTTTCATCCATGATTGGTTGATTGATAGAGGGGATACCTCCCAAAGAGTACATCGGTAAATTAATGGTAGCAAGCTGACCCCTCTTTTCTTCCCCTTTGGTCGGACATAAGACCTTGTCGATTTTAAAACGAGGCCTGAATAAGAGGTCGGACGACTCCTTGTGTCGGTTTTCATGGTAGACCTCACATTTTGAGGTCTAGTTTGAATACCTGAGGTCCAATTGAATTAGTTGCAGGTCCTAACATTTCTCCGCGGCCGAGATCAAACTGAGGATCATTTGAATGCTCTGATGGCCGTTCCGACCTCCTTGTGGGGGGACCGAGTGGTGCCACTGGAGATCGAGGACCCAGTCGTCATGAAGCCCTTCGCAGCGAGGGCGGTTGCGACCTGGGCCAGTGGTGGGGTGCTGCACATTGGTGCTGCACACGCAGGTGTCAGGCAGGTTTACAGAGGGAGAGGACTGGATGCCATGGACTTGGCGGGGGTTGCTATAGAGGTGGTGATCCATTGGTGTTTCTCACTTGATTCCCTTGCAAAACTTCACTCTAGGAGTTGCACAATCTGGTTTCAACCTGTTTCTTCTGGACGACGCAGAGACAATTGGTTGAGTTGTACATGTAGAGCGGCCGTTTTTTCTACTATATAGAAGCTCTAAGGATGGATGATGATGACAAATGCTGGCAAATGTATACCGAGTCACAGGCGAGTTCGCACTTTTTGCCGTGGAGTTAGCATTTTTGCAATCTAAAGTGTACAGATAGTACAGACATGTACAGACTATCACCCCTGATGGCCTGAAAAACCTCTGCTGTTTTAGATTTCAAGCGTGGGACACGACGTGTGTTCGTGTGGGGTTGGTCTCCTCTTTGCTTACTCTTTGGTTGCCTTTGCGACCTGCACCCCTGATCTGCTTGCGGCGCAAGCACCTACCCCAATTAGCCAGACATTCACAAGCGCATCATCCCCGCGGTTTGTGAAACGTTCACCTTCCCAGGTTGTTCCTGTGACTGCCGAGGCAAAACTCTTATTATGAAAACAAGAGGAAGCAGCCTGCTTCAGTCTTTCGAAAGGCGTGGCTACTGGTCTTTTGGTGGAAGCATCAAAAGATGTTCATTTCAACTACCTGAAGGAGGACCACCAAGACATAGACCTAGTTTTGCTTAAGGTGAATGTGTGTTTTTTCTCTATTGCTGAATCCCCTAAACCCTAAGCAAATCCGAGTAGAATGGATAATTCAACCCCTACTATGGGTCCAAAGATTCTTAGGGTACCAAGAACTCTTCAACTCGACTGTGAGACGCAGATTTTCCATGAACCCCTCGGGTCCTGCACACACACCAACGGTGGCATGACCCCACCGCTGGACATGGGCGCAAACAATGATATATGGTTGTCGATCTAAAGGTCCTAGTCAGCAGTGTGTATGACGATGACCCGGAACATATCAAAATCTCATTTGGCGAAAGTTTTTTCTCGAGTTGGCGAAAGTAATTTTTTTTTTGGCGAAAGATCTGGCGAAAGATTAAATATGTACTTTTGTATGAATGTTCATTTGCTTTCTGAACAGCTGGTGGCAGTGACTCAGAAGCTAGATGAGCTGTGGAAGTTAGATAACCTGCTGCTGCGACTACTACTACTACTACTACTACTACTACTACTACTACTACTACTACTAC